TCAAGTTCCTATGGGCTGGCGTAGAACCAAAAGCAGTAATCGAGCATAATTCATTCTTTCCTCGACAAAAACGAAAATCTAGAGACCGTGGGATCAGCTCATTGATATCGTGCTTTTAATTTTCATCAAATGCCTTCAAGGTAGGTCATACCAGTTTTAAGATTTTAGTCACAGGCTTCCCAAACTCACTATGTGAGAACGGTTGTTAAAAATATTTATACATGTAGTAACATTGCATGACGTAAGGATTTATAGGGTTCATATGGGAAACGTGAAAAACAGGGGCCCGCAAAGACCGAATGTTTCCAAATATGTCAGAAGTGTTTTGAATAGTTTTCTCTATGCTTTAGAAGCCTGTTTGGTTAACTTGATGCCTTAAAAACTATTAATTTTCTCCGATGTTTTAGGGGAACTTATAAGTCGACTTTAAAGTTTTACATCGCGTAGAACATCCGGACATTTAAGGTACGTTCACAGACGTTAACGCACGAAAATTGTAATCACTTAAATAAAATAGAGGCAAGATATAAAGTGTTGAGAATAAACGTGAAGTTGAGCGAGGTTCTACTTTTTCGCTTATACGTGCGACCTTTCATATATTGCCTCTATTTTATTTGCTAACGTAAATTTTACGCACATACGCACGTAAAAATTACGCGACAGTGGAAATCAAGCCTTACGCATGATAATAAGCTTCCGCGGCGGGCCACTCAAGCATGAATGCTCCTCAAAAGCGCCACAAGCAAGAGAGGGCTTCGATAAAACCCGGACTCTGAACACGGACATTCCGGAACATCCCGGAACATCTCGAAACATCTCGGAAAATGAAAAAATTAAAATATTTTTTATGAAAAATAATGAGGAATAATTTAATAAATTATAATAAGAAGAATAAGAATAAAAATAAGAAAACAATTTTTGCAAAAATTTATAATAATAAAATAAGTACAATGACATAACATAACAAAAAGAAAGAATGAATGAAAAAGAAACTGGTATCATCTCCGAGTATGAGAAAACAATATTTTGTCGCAATTAATTTGTTGGGCGAGTGAGGGTCCATTCAAATGACAGTAATGAGTGAAGGCTTGCCTTTAAATTCAAAATACACTGTATATTAAAATGGGCCTCCAGAAGGGGGTTTTCAAGCTTTCAGTCACAGAGCCACCTCTTGTAATTTTTTGTCATGAGTTTATATAACCATTTGACTGTTATCCACCTACGTGTCCGGGTTTTTTGTAGTTATATGGGATCAATAGTCAACTTTGTCATCCGACGCAAATCAACAAAGGATTTAATTCAAGAAAGTCTAGTCGCCGAGAATAGCTACGCATTAATGTTTTCAAAATGAAATCTGTTCCACTAAAATCCAGTAAGGTTGCAAATTCCAAAGCAACAAACAGATTAGCAGATGAATAGATTGCAAACTTCACTTGAGACTCCGGGAGATGGCTGAAATTCTGGCTAACTGATAACAGTTAGAAACTACCACTGCGCTACCTGACTACCGCTGAAACTATTCACTGCGAATGTAAATCTTCTCCACTAAAGTCCAAAGCCACAAGCCGCCTTAAGCTCTTCATGCAGTCGCAAAGCCGTATTAAAATAGATAACCGTCAAATGATTAAACTGCATGGAAAACAATTACAAAAGGTGGCTGTGTGAGGAAAGCTTGAAAGAGGGTCTTGAAAACCCCCTTCCCTACGTCCAATCTTAATATATTTAGAATAAAGAGACAAGCTTCCACTCATTACTAATACTGTCCTTTGCATGGACCCTCACTTGCCAAACAAATTGGGACAAAATACTGTTCTCTCATACTCGGAGATGATACCAGTTTCTTTTTTTTTTCTTTCTTTCTTTTTCGTTTTTATGTTATATTATGTTATTTACTTCGTTATTATAAGTTTGTGAAAAAAATATATTTTATTATTATAATTTTTTTTTTCATAAAAAAATATTTTAATTTTTTCATGTTCCGGGATGTTCCGGAATGTTCCGTGTTCCTGGGTTTATCGACGCCCGGATTTGGGCGAAAGTACCTCACGAAAATCGCCATTTTAAAATACCTATAGTCTACTTTTCTTATATCAAAAAGCGGCTTTTTGTAGTTACAGTCAAACCAGGACAAGCGTTCCCGTCGCTAGCGAACTAATAAATTCATTAACGGAAAAATGATTTCGTTTGTTGATTCAATAATCCATTTATAAAATGAACAATCCAATATTCATATTTAGCCTCGATTCCATAATCGAATGTTGATTCGATTACTGTTTCTTGAAAAACTACACTTTCCACAAGTCGACCTCAGAATTTTGTTTTTTTTTCTTTTTTTCTAAGAGTCGAGCGCGGGCGAGTTCTGACGTTCAAACCCAAACAAACTGTTACATGTACGCCATTTTGCTTCCAGTAATCAGTGCAACGGACCTGACCTCTTAGAAAACACAATAGTCAAACTGAGGTCAGTGTATGTGCGGTGATTGGTGGATTTCGATCCCCA